ACCCCCCCCCGTGAAACCCCTGAACGTTTTGTGGTCTCCAAACCGAATAGAGGTCTAATAACGCCTTTTTCTGAACACGTCTCTATTATGCCGATGAGAAACACTATGTCTTCTGCATTTTAATTTACTTATGAGGAAGATTGCCTCCCAGTGCGGGCCGTTGCACGTCGAATGAACGGCTCTTGCCATGCACGTACCAATGGTCAGTTGGGATGTGGATAGAGAGTCTCGCCACTCGAATTATTACTCAAGCAAATAAAAAGTGCAGTGCTAACGGGCGTCATCTTCGCCAACTGTTTGCTAGTTGGGCCGATTTTAAAAGCCGTCTTGGCGGTAATTTTTTGCCCGACGCGGCGAAGATACGCTGCGTGTTTGTGCCCGCAGGGCATCTTTCTATTCAATTTCATAATGCACCAGAAGGGTCAAAGAGCAAATAAACCCGCTTTGTGCCGTGACGAACGATCGAAGACTGACTACCAAGAGGCAGGGCTTCTTCTAATACCCTGGGGCTATGCAGGGAGCCCTACAGGTTTACTGAAAATGAAGGTGTTCAGACGCCTACACGCAAACCCTGATCGAAACGCTTTTCGAAATAAATAACTTCCATTCCTTAGATAGTAGAATTGTTCAGGGAATCACGACTGGCAGACTGAACAAATCGCCAGAACAGAGCATCAGCTTGCTACGGTATAGTATGAATGAACGGAACTAATTGCTTCCACAAATATATAGTCAATACACGCCAAAAACGAAACAGACATTGCACATGGTTCTGGTCTTTTGCTGGACGTGTAACCGCGGGACACGCTCGGGTGGTGCCGGTCAGGCTCATGTCCCTGAGGTGTCAGCGTGTGTGGTTACAGCCTGCACCAACTTTGCGAGTAGCTCCCGATGATAGGTGCTGTGAGTTGATGTGCTGTAACTACCCGAAATGAATGTGTACTGCGTAGCACAGATAACCTCTAAATCGAATATTCTATCCATGATCCACACCTTTACACTAAGAAAGATAATGAACACATTGTAGCACTACCCACTACAATAATCCACCCTCCACAGAAGTATTTGACGCATACAGACGCGTCGGAACAAAGAGGAGACTGGGGACAGGTGCGTGTGCATGTGAAAACAATCGACCCGAGGAGAAGGCCTGGCGGTTCAAAGTGGGTCGATCAAGGGGTAGCTGGGTACGAGGAATTCGACAAAACCGCACGCACTGCTCTCGAACGGCGACGGCGCCAGGCTTGGAGGAGAGATGGGCAACCCCGAAAGTAGTCTGCTGGCTCCCAGTAGCCCGGTCTTTAGGAGCTCCACGCCACCTAACACGCTACTGTGCTGCCGACCCCTAACCGCGTTGGCTGAGAATTTGGCCCATCTCATAGCTGTCGGTGAAGTTGGCATGGACACCACGAAAGGGCAGCTATCCGGCCCCCACTTTTTGGGAAGCCATGTTCGGATCGCGGGGGCGCTCAGGAATGAGCTGCGACACGGGGAACTCATCGTGGTGATCCTACGCGGGTGGGAGGGTTAAACCAGAAGCAACCTTACCGATCCGCTGTGTGACTGAACGGTCCCCGGAATCCCGGCACGGCACGAATTTACTGCGACATTTTCTGTAGAAGGGATCGACTGTTGAATCACACTTTGCCCCCGACGGTGAAGGCGTCCCTTCAGTGCGCATCAGCGCAAGAACCTTATTTCCATTTAGCTTGAAGTATATGCACCCAAGGACGCATAGCAGCAACTTTCGATTGACGACTACAGGGACCAGCTGATGGGGATAAACATTCTATATTCCTTCCGCAAGCTGTCTTCAATGGCATTAAAATGTTTAGTTACGGTGTGTCAGCGGTTACTCGTTCAGCTACTCTCCCCATCACTGGCTGAACGGGAATCTCATCTAATCAAATAAGTAGCGTCAACAGCTGCCCCTGCAAGTTCATCGGGAAATCGATTCTCTACGTAACAGCTAGCCTGCCAACAGCGGCTCCGCAAGACCCCTGCTGAGGAGAGGCACCTTCATCGTCCAAGTGCAGTAGCGTTCGTAGTCCCTAGCTTTTCTGGGACGAAGACGCAAGCACCAGACTCACTAAACATCGCATCAATGGATTTTCGAAAATGTGGTTCTACACCGAACGCACCTCCGAATAGATTTAATGTTCAGCCACCTGCTGCAAGCTACACTGCGTTTAAGAGCAGCCCGTGGTAATTCGCGTGGACCTAGTTCTATAGATGAATGCGCATGTGCTTGCTAATAAACATCAATTTTATGGGACGTGAACTACAATAAGCATATGTTTGGACCTTCTATTCAGACCAGCATTCTATGCAACTTCGTGCTGTTGTTTTCAAACCACCCGGCTACCAACCTCACCCATTCCAGCTATTGGCTACGTCGCCTTCCTTGTCTTTCTTTGGTCTTTCGTTTCGCTAGGAAAGGGCAAGACTCTAAAGCGGCTTTGCCTTAGCTGCCTGTTGATGCCCTAGCTGTGCACTATCTCACTTTCCTCAGTGAAGCTGTCGACTGCATATAGAATGTCGCCAACCTGATCATCTTGCTATAGCCAACAGATTTATGTTCCTGCGACTGGTAATAGCACGCTGCTGTGGTTGTAATGGGTCCTGGCTCTCAGACGGGGACCGAAGGAAGTTGCAACCGAGTTGAATAAAACATGCGGTACGGGTTTCCAAACAGCAGATGATTTCCTCGCCAGTCTGCATTTGGCTTGGGCGTGGCGGCGTAAGCGCCTAGGCCTGGCGGGGAGTTGAGGTAGACTGCCAAGAGCTGCATCACACCTTGCTGCAACACTTGCTGCAAAGCGCCCCTCCGAGCGTTCGACAAGACAAAAATCGGACTCTTCCTTCACCTGGATGATTGCTAACTCCTGAAGCTAACGCCGACGAAAACGCAGACTCCAGCTAGAAAAAAGAAACGGCCAACTGTCTCCACTTCAAAGCATGGCGAGCGACCTGTACTTTCCGCTCGATACTTCTGGGATAATGCCTGCAGGCTGTATGCATGTCGACGGTACTTATCGTCCTTGGCAGATTGAGTGGCCTTTCAGAGCTATCGCCGCAAATGCCAACAATGTAAGAGGCTCTCTGGCAACACTGGTCTGGCCCCAGAGTCTCCACAAAAGCTGCTGGCAGTCAAGTTGCCTAAATCGTCAAATTGCAGTAGCGCTCGAACGATGTAACCCGTTTAAGATCTTGAAATACATCCGTATTGCACTGCAAAAAGACGGGATCGTTTCCCAAGGGTCGCAAGACTGGAAGACGGTGACCAGGCCCCTAATTTCGAGGTAAGCTGCCTGAAATAGCTTACCTCGTTGCGCCCCTCAACCAAACGCAGGACGCGCAACGAGGGTGGTAGCTCCCGTAGGTCGTCATGCGGGACCTTTTGGGCTACAAAAGGGTTTGTCGTCATTTCGCCAGGCATCAAATGCGCTAGTTCTAAAGCGCCAAGGAGACAGTTGCGAGCAGAAAAGCATCCGTTTAATCTTGATAAGGTCGACGTCTGAAGGGCGCTTTCCTGTCATTAAAAGTCGCAACGCCAAATTAAGCTCCCGACAAAGCATCTTGCTATAGTGAGTTTTCGCGGGAGTATTCGGGGGAGCAAGCAGTTGCCACTGGCTAGAGAAGTCAAGACGGATCTTGCTAGTAACTCTCTCCCACCAGGGTCCTCCCGCCGGTTCCCCCAGTAACTGCAGAGTTGCCACAATTACGTCCATACACAGGAATTGGAGCCCTAGGTACTCCGCAACAATACGCGAAGGAGCATGTTTGTCCGGGGACGTAGCGTGCACAATATACTTGCACAACCGCTCAGCATCGTAGGTTAGCTTTTCCATTTCCTCGGGGGTGAGTGAGGGCTTTGCAAGGCGCTCGCGCGCCCTAGACAGCAAAAGGGTCGGCTTTGCCGTAAGCCAGCCTTCACATACAGCAGTTGTGGTGCTGAAACTTCTCAGAAGTTTAGATTGGTCTACGACCGGTAGACGAACAAACGGGTGACTGGAAATGGGCAAATTCCCCAGAGCAAGAGCAGCTGATACC